GGTCAGTTTCAGCAGCGGCTGAATCTGGATGCCAGTTCCGACTTACATACAGATTCAACTTAAGAACAAACCTACAGTCCCTATCTTGTACGTAACCCGGGGACTGCCTGTACTGTAACTTAATGTAGCAACTCAGGTGTCTGGATCTGTTTGTGAATTTAAATTTACTTCACATAAAATATTTTATCAAATATTGAAATATATTGTGAAAAATAATGGAAAAGATGAAGACTAAATGTATGTGATGATAACAATCTACAAATATGATGGAAACAATTAAAATGGTAAATCCAGGAAAACTAAAATTTTAAACAATGTTCTTATGCTTTTCAGCCTAATGCTGTTCTCACCAAAATAGATTTCCCTTAGATTTTAATACCAGGAGTGTAAACTCTGGCAAGTAAAGTGAAAAATATAATTAGGAAGGCTAAAAAGAATTTAAAATAGATTTACCTTAGATTTTAATACCAGTTCTTTGCGGGGCATTCCCAGAGAAGCCCTTCTAATGTATCATTTTTATTCTGGAATTAAACCAAAAAAATCACAGCATTGATATGATAGAGCTGTGGCTCAGTTTTGTCAGCCCTTTTTCTGACCAGGGCTAAGGCCTGGTCTACACTAGAAAATGTATTTATTTATTTAAATATTTTTACCCCGCATCACTATATAAAATATTCCAGGTGGCTTACAAATTTTTTTAAAGCACAATATAAATATGTTTACAAAATTAATTATATGAGTTTGGTTTCACTGCACCTGTCAGGGTTGTGAAAAAACAACCCCTCAAAGCGGCATAATTAAATCAACCTAAATGACTGAGTTTGACTAAGGTAAATGGCAAAATTCTCCAATTGACATAGCTCTCATTTCCCAGGGAGGTGGATTACCTACACTGATAGGAAAATTGGTCCTGTTGGCTTAGGCCGCACTGCTAAAATGCATGTTGGCATTTTAAGTGGAGTCGCACCTTGAATGTCAGATCACACCTTTCCTTATTTCAAGTGTGTGAAAACTGATCCATGATATCGACATCAGCAGAGGTCAGCTGACTATACTTTGTGGTGCGTTTTAGTGAGAATTCACACAAGAGGGCTCACACGGGCTTTCTTACTGCAAATGTATTACTCAGTCTTTTTTCACCTTATATTTCAATGAAATGTTGGCTCATGACTCTCTTGAACTTCTTTGAGACTTTCAGTGTAAATTATGAAAATGTCTGGTTGCAACTGAGTAGGGATATTAGTGACTAGTCGACTGCCCGATAAGCAAATGCTTATCGGATAGCTGAGCTGCCACTTGAGTAGTTGTTTCCCCCCCATATTGATGCCTCTGTCAGAGAGAGGCAGCAAGAGTGGGAGGAGCACGAGCCAGTGCTGGGGGGAACCGACTTCAAGCCAGTTCCCCCCCAGCATCGTCTCCACGGGAAACGGGAGGCAGAGGCACAGCAGGAAAATGTTGTGAGTGGGAACTGCCTCAGTACCCACTGGCGCTGGTTCCCACTGGAGGCACTTCTGCTTTTGAATCGAGGGCTCTTGTAGATTTCAAAAGTAGAAGTGCCACAGGGAGCACCTGGTGAGTGGTGCTGCCTTTTCCCCTCCTCCCCCCTTCCGCCTTGCTGCCTCTATGAGCAGCACTGTTCCACCCAGCACCATCTCCTGGCTGCTGCGAACAAGGGATGCTGGACTCAGCACAAGCTGGGACCAAGCTGTCCCGGCTCGCACTGATAGCTGCGCCTCTGCATTTTAAATGTAGTAAGAGTCATTGGGCTCTTCTGCATTTAAAATGCGGTCTAGTAGTGCGGGTGTCTCTGGAGCTGGCTCCTGGAGCTACCTCCACTATGGTTCTGCTCTGCAGCGCTTATCAACTAATCATATAGTCAGTATAAATTGTATTGACTATATGAATAGCCAGATAATCACATTTTAATATGATTACAACTCAGTAGGTATGTTGAATTTTAAAATGGGGCCTGCATTTCTGTTTTTCTCTGAAGGTAGGCATTCAGTCAGTGTGAAATTTTACACAGGGTTGTTTTATTCCATTGTAATTTCCTTTGTTGGTGTTCCTTATACATTTTTAATTAGAAATCTTTGAATCTAGCTGAATTTTTTTGGCAGTGTTTCTTGACTGCTGTCTCTTTAAAAACATTGTGTATGACTGTAACATGCTAGAGAAATGGATTCTGCATCTGTCAAGTGCACAGAGGAGAGTGTTTTATTTTCAAAATGACTTAGATGCTGTTCACATTAGAAGGGAAAGTTTATATACTGTGTATACAAAACTGGTTGAGGCTGGAAGTGTGCAAATCTTGATTGATTGAGGGTTTGGGTGTACAAAGGGATGATTGTTTAAGTGGAAAGAAATTCACTCAAATGAGAGGCCTGCTAGTATGAAAAAAAAAAAACCTTATAAACCTTGGCTGACTTTTGAAAGGCTTCTGTTCTGAAAGAGTTTAAATTACTCATCTCTTTTTTTTCCTACACCTTTCTTCTCCCCACCCTCCTTTTTAGGCTACATGGTGTGTTAGATAAACTTCGATCTGTAACTACTGGTAAGTAGTCCAAGAAAGCAATATATTAGGTTTGGAATTAGATATCAGTATAGAATTTTCTTATACTTATGGATAGATTTTTGCCAGTTTTTAAAAAAAGTTCCTAATTGGCTGTATAATTAATATTTAATGTATGTGTTTTTTGTGGCTCTGGGGTGTTAAGAAGTGTCTTGTATGTTTATTTTGGGATGAAGTAAACATGACCTTTTTAAGTGGGTCTTGCTGCCTTTTGAGTCTACAGTGTAGTGTGTTTGCTTGTGAGGATTCCTGTAGAGACTAATTGCTCATTTGCTTGTGGCTTTAAGGCTGCACTTGCTGTATAATTGATTTACATAAGCTAAGTCACTGAACTTTGATGTAAGGATGAAGTGCACCTGTTTTTACAGAACCTACTAGTCTAAAATCTTCAGACTCTAACATCTTTGAGAGCAGCCTGCCTTCCAGCAAAAGCAGTTCACGTGGGAGTGATGAGAGACGGCGTGAGGAAATCCTACCACCTCTTGCAGTCTCTAGCACTCGGGCTGAAAGAAATGACTTCAGAGTTTCAACCAGTACACTGGAGCAGAGAGCTGCTGCTGCCCGGTAAGGCTTCTGCCTGCTTATTGGAAGGACTCAGATTTCAAGGAATACATCACTGGGATTGTTGCTTTGAAGAGCAGTAGGGAATAACAAGCTGATGAGACCAGAACAGGGGAATTGAAGCTTTTTCAGCCTGAAGCAGAAAAGGTTTGCTACTGTGTGTTGCATAAAATAAATATTACACCTTGAAAGTTTATCTTGTACTTCTTTATGCCATAAATGTGCCTATCTTAACTAAACTAAAAGTAGATGTTGAGTGTGCCAGATTTTTTAAAAGAGTAAAATCTTGTTTTTATTTATGCTTATATTTAAACTGTTCTTCTGACATTTATATTTCAGGAATTTTTATCTGGCAATTAGTTAAGACTTTGTAACCTCTTCTTTCAACAGGCAATCTTGTGAAGATGGAGCTGCATCCCACTTAATGTCAACAGTTAAGCCTCTAAAGGAGTTGTCACCTTCAGAAGCTGTGATTGACATTAAACCTGAACCAGATGATCTCATTGATGAAGACCTAAATTTTGTGCAGGAGAATCCATTGTTGTCTCGGAAGAAAGCTGTTGTGACTGTAACATATGGACCTCCCCGTCCTACTGCTGAAATCTATAGACCACCAGCTATCAGAAGCATGGACAGCCAAATATACTTACAAAGATTGCCGCAGCAAGGGAGCCTACAGAGTGGTAGACAGTTAGACATGGAAAGCTGCAGGGCTTTGGAAACAATCCAGATATGTGATCCAGAAGCATTTAGCAGTTTAGCAGAGAGTTACAGGCCTGCTTCCAAACTGAGCGCTGATAAAATCAACAGCGAGGTTAGTATGCAGATATAAACTATGTCTGTATTTGGCACATCATCAACAAAGCCAAACATAAGAATGGCCATACTAGGTTAAACCAACAGTCCATCTGGCCCAGTGTCCTGTCTGCTGACAGTGGCCAATACCAGATGCCCCAGAGGGAGGGAACACAACCAGTAATCCCCACGATCCCTCCCTTGTCACCTATTTCCAGACAAACAGAGGCTAGAGACACCATTCCTACTCATCCTGGCTAATAGCCATTGATAGACCTGACCTCCATGAATCTATCTAGCTCTTTTTGAACCCTGTTGAAGTCCTAGCCTTCACCACATCCTCTGGCAAGGAGTTCCAGTGGTTGACTATGCAGTGAATGAAGAAGAACTTCCTTTTGTTTGTTTTTAAACCTGTTGCCTATTAATTTCATTTGGTGACCCCCTCATTCTTATATTAAGGGAATAAGTATATAACTTTTCCTTATTCACACCAGTCATGATTTTATACACCTGTCATATCCTTCCTTAGTCTCCTCTTTCCTAAGCTAAAAAATCCAAGTCTTTTTAATCTGTCTTCATATGGGACCTGTTCCAAACCCCTAATCATTTTTGTTTCCCTTTTCTGAACTTTTCCAATGCCAATATATTGTTTTTGTGATGAGGTGACCACATCTGTATGCAGTATTCAAGATGTGGGAGTACCATGATTTTATATAGAGTCAATAACATATTTTTGTCTTATTCTCTGTCCCTTTTTTAATGATTCCTAACATTCTATTTGCTTTTTTCACTGTCGCTGCACACTGCGTGTATGTTTTCAGAGAACTATCCACAATGACTCCAAGATCTCTGTCTTGAGTAGTTACAGCCAAATTAGTCCCCATCATCTTTGATGACACCAAGGAGGGCTCCTGGACCCTTTAAAGTCAATGGGAGGATTTCAGGCTTTGGTCCACTAGCCAAAAAACATTGTGCTGAGAGGGGGGGGGGACTCACAAGTTGTTGACTAACTTGTAATGTCTGTTTGGTGCTTCACTGACTTAAAATAATGAGAACATTTTTGGCAGGGATGTTTGGTAGGTTAGAATAATCATTTTAATCTGTAGGTTTTTGGAATAGCTGTGTTTTTTAAATGAGTTATTTTGTAAATCTCTAGTTTGCTAGTTATGGAATAAAGGCTAGCATTGAAGAGTAAAGGAGGAAATATATGATTCATCTACCTATTTGTGTATGTATCTCTGTATTTTTAGAATGCCAAACAACTTTGTGTTTAGGGTGCATGAATCTTAGTCTGAAAAGTCATGGCTATTGCCAAATGATCCTGTCAGCAGCAAGATAATTCTACGACTGTTATGTTTATTTAGGAGCATTGTATATAAAAGAAAAGGGATAATGGATAGTTGATTTTCAGATTTTTAGGACAGCTAATTTCTTAATAAAGTAAGAGACTTATTTGCCTTATATTCTAAGTGAAACTTTTTTATTTTTTATAAATATACTTGAACCTCTTTAATCCTGGGAAATAGATATGAAAGGTTAAAGATGTTGTTGGGCCAGGGAGGGTGCTACAGGGTCTGGGCATGAATAGGTGTGGGGCGCTTACCTGATGCCTCGCTCCGAGGGGCAAATATGGCTCTTCGCCCCCTGCCGCTCCCAGGCACCTCCCACTGCCACTATGGGAGCAGTGACGAAAAGCCGTAGGGGAAGCGCGTTGCTGTGCTACCATTTCTCCAGTTGAGGGAAGGAGGTGCGCAGTGCACAGAGCCACTTCCTCCTCTGTGTCATGGCTGTTCCTGGACTAGTGACACTGGGAGTACAGAGATTCAAGTGTATTGGGTTTTTTTATTATAATAATTTTTGCTCTTGTATAATACTTTTAATTCAAAATGCCTTATAAATGCAGGTAATTATCCTCCTCCAATTTTATAGGCAGGGTACCTGGGTCATTAGAACTGGTGTGACTTGCTGAGTGTCACACATGAGTTTGTAGCAGATCTGTCACCTCACTTCCTGAGGTATATTAGGCTTCTCTGAGTTGTTACTATTACAGGTTGGATAGACATAGTGCTTGGTCCTGCTGTGAGGGCATGAGACTGGATTTGATGATCTCTTGAGGTCCCTACCAGTTCTAGTATTCTATGATTCTACTTTCTTAATTAAAAAAATAATATTGTAATCTTGTATTTAAAAAAATAGAGGGATATTTATGGAGAGATCCCTAGAATTTGAAATTTCATCATCTTCAGCCTTTCCTTACTCAAGTTTTTGTGAGTTGAAACATTTTCTCTTCACCATAGATATTGATTTCTCATAGTATGTGTCCTCTGCGTGGTCACTAAAATCCTTTGGCACATCAGTCTGGTTAGTGAACATTCTCTGTTTTATAGAAAGCTAATGCTACTGCATAGGGGAAATAGGAAAGTACAAGTAGTATAAATGATACCTTAATAACAGAGTTCCATCTAGGTATTCCTTAGGGGGAACTGTGAGTCAGTCATAGTCCAAAACTCATTCTTTCTATAGTACTCTTTTTTCCCCCTGGACACGGTACTATGCAGCCAGGATTTTCAGAGTAACTCAGTGTTCTAGATTATTATTTAAATGGAAGCTCTCTGTCATCTGGCTATTGATGGAATCATAGGGTCTTCTTTGTTTACATATTAATGTGGATCTGATTAATAGTTGCAGGAAGAAAGCTCCAGGAAGAGAAAATTGCCAGTTATAAGCTCAGTGGTCAAAGTGAAAAAGTTCAGTGATGATGGGGAGGAGGAAGAGGAAGAGGAAGACTATGGGTTACGAATAGGAAGTATCTCCAGCAGTGTGTCTGTACCAGCAAAGCCTGAAAGAAGGTACTTGAAGATCTCTATGGTAGAGTACTGGTTTTTAATGTGAATCTAATATGCAACATAAACCTTGTGTTGAAAGTGATACTTCCAATACCTGAAAAATATTTTAAGTGTATTGAACTGCTAATGGAATTTTTTATTTCCCTCTTGGATTGTCCTCCTATAATCAGTGTGAGCTGTTTTCTGTATTGCTCTGTTTTTTTCTCATTAGTTTATATTCTGTTCTCATTATGTGTGCATGCATGCAACTGAATGTAAGAGTCTCTTGAACTTTCAGGTTATGTTACAGCACCTTACCCAGCAAAGTGAATCAAAGTAAAGTTTCTTGTAATCTCTTATAGCTCAGTTAATTAATGAAAGATCATAATGTTTAAGAAGTTTTGTTTTGGGATGTAGGCGAGTAGTCGACTACACGACTACCCGATAAGCATAAGTTTATCGGGTAGTTGAGTGGAGTACTCGACTGCTCACTTCTCTCCCTTCCCCCCCCCCTTGCCGTCTCTGTATGAGGCACAGCAAAGGAGGGGGAACAGGAGCCAGTACTGGGGGGAACCAGCTTAAAAGCCGGTTTCCCCCAGCACCGTTGCCGCAGTGCCACCTATACCCCCCTCCCCTGCCTTTATCAGAGGCAGTGGGGGGTGTGGATAGGGGAGGCTGCTGTGGGCCAAGGCTTAATGTAGGCAGAGGCTGCTCCAGCAGCAGCCCCTGTTTGGAGCATCCTGGGCTGGCTGTGGGCAGATGCTGCTCCAGCAGCAACCCCTGTTCGCACCAGCCGAGGCTGGCTGCAGGCAGAGGCTGCTCCAGCAGCAGCCCCTGTCCATGGCCAGCCCGGGCCACCGTGAACAGGAGCTGCTGGACCCAGCATCCTGGCTCATGCTGGTCTGGGACCATGGCCACTATATTTAAAATGAAGAGGCACAGTGGTTGCGGAGCCAGCACGAGCTGGGTCTGCTCAATCCCAGCCTGCGCCAGCTCTGGGAGCCACCCGTGCTCCAACTCTGCATTTTAAATGTAGTAAGCGCTTCCAGGCTCCTGTTACATTTAAAATGCAGAGCCACAGCAGTCCAGAGCTGGCGCGAGCTGGTAGTGCTCAGTTCCAGCTCAAGCCAGCTCCGGGAGCTACCACCTCTGTGGCTCTGCAGAGCAACCCCCTATACAATTAGCCAAATAACCACTCTTTAACCTCCTTACTTTGTTTATTTCAGACACAAACTGATTTATTGCTTTGGTAGAACTGGACTGTGGTTCCAGTCTTAATCCATTATTATTGTTGCTAAATGTATATTGCATTGAACTGAAGGGAAAACATCCTCAGCATCCCACAGGATACCTGTTTAGCAAGGATGTTAAAATGTGTTTAGTCAAGTAAACGTGTAACCACTGAACATTTCAGAGGGAGCAACATGGTGGGAGCAGGTGGACCCTGGGAATTGGTGTGCACTGGAAAAAGGCTTTTAAGCCAGTTGCCCGTGCATACCCGGGAGTCTAGACAGTCACACTTTCACATCCAAACTGTTTAGCTTACTCTGTTGGTGAATTATCCCCTCTCATGCCTGCTCTTTGAGGCAGTGCTATTTTTCAAAAGACTCCAGAGCTGCTTTTTCTGATTTACTTATGTTTCATTGCCAAAATTAGCAGTCAATTGTTACAGTCATTCTCATTGCTGAGTCAGCAATAAGAAGAATACTGGGGATGAGATGTTCCTAGCTTTTATTATATTCATACAGAGCTTGTGATGTTCATATATCTTCTCAGCTATATGGAATTTCTTGTACCTACTACCTGGTTATTGAAATTCAAACAGGCATAGGATGTTGTTTATTTAACTTAGATGTCTACTGCTGACAGGGATTAATACCCTTTAAGAGGAAAGAAGGGGCAGAATATTGAGAGAATAAACTGGTGACCTGACAGTATGTGTATTAGGGCTGTCAAGCGATTAAACAATTTAATAGTGATTAATCATGCAATTAAAAAATGTAATTGCGATTAATTACGCGCGTCTCCCCTTTGAAATGTTGCCACGGTGTTTCCAAGGGGCAGTGCATCACGGAGCCTAGGATCAGCTGGAGTGCCCAGCTGATCCCTGGCTCCATGTTGCACTGCCCCTTTGAGGTGCCGGAGCAGCTGTGCTGCCTCTGCCATTTTAAAATGCTGCCTCCGCATGCATTTCAAAGGGGCAGCTCTGGCTCAGTTGGGGGCTTCCCAGCTGATCCCGGGATCTGTGTGGCATTTCCCCAGAACCTGGGGTCAGCTGGGGAGTATTTTTAATACCCGAGTATTTTTAATACCAAAGATGACTTTTTTGTTACTTAAATAACAAATCCTTATCTTTGCTTCTATAATTCCCTGAACATTGCATTTTTTCTTCTTGTAGAACAGATAGCATAAACCACAGCATAAACATTTATACTACCTCATACAGATTTAAAATTCTATCCCAATGCCATGAACTTTCAGTAGGTTCCATTTACAATTTGTGGGGCGGTTGAAGTGAACAGTTTTTTGAGGGAATATGGACAAGAATTGAGGTGATGGATACATCAAGGTTAACTCAAGATTTAGTATAGTATGTGAGCCAACTAGTTAAAAACATTAGAGTTGAAGCACATGGTATAAAAAGATTTTGTTAGTGTATTTTCTGATTGTGTGTTCTAGCTACACTGTGCTTAATTATGCAGTGTTTTGTTGTGAAACATCATCGTACTGTATTTACAGTGACCATTGAAATTCATATAGCTGCAGGAAAAATTGATCTTTCTCTCTCTGTCCATCAGACCTTCACTACCACCCTCCAAACAGGCCAATAAGAATTTAATATTGAAAGCTATATCTGAAGCTCAGGAATCTGTTACAAAGACAACCAACTATTCTACAGGTAATTCATACCATTTTTGTGCTCGGCCAAGCTGCATTATTCTAAGTCCTTTGAAGGGAGCTGCTTACATGGGTGCTTATAGGTAGATTTGATGTTATAAGAAATGTGGTGGAGGATTCTATAGGCAAAGCATAACAATAACATGTAGACAGTGATGGAAAATGGAATGGAATCAAGCAGATGGAGTTATGTTCAAGGATTTCCCCCTTTTGCCCAAAGATTAAGTTCTGTTTTTGAGAGGTTATTTATCTGAATGAAGTTAAGGATAAACCACAAATTTTCTTAGAGAGAGTGCTTAGAGATGTGTATACAGTAGTTGGTGAATATCAGTGTAACACTAATATCAGAATCCTAGAATAAGGAAATCATTTTAAATTAGGACCTCAGGAGTTCATCTAGTCCAATCCCTGCTCAAAGTAGGACTAAACCCAACTAAATCATGCTAGTCAAGTCTTTGTCAAACCTGGTCTTAAAAACAACTAAGAATGGAGATTCAACCACCTTTCTAGGTAATCCTTTCCAGTGCTTCACCACCCTCTTAGTGAAATTGTTTTTCCTGATATCTAACCTAGGCGTTCCCCACTGAAACTTAAAACCATTGCTCCTTGTTCAGTCATTTTGAACCCCTTTCAGGTAGTTGAATGCTACTGTTAAATCCCCCTCACTCTTTTCTGCTGCAGACTAAATAAGTCCAGTTCCTTCAGCTTCTCCTTATAAATCATGTGCCTCAGCCCCCTAAACATGTTTGTTGCCCTCTGCTTGGCTCCTTCCAATTTGTCCTCATCCTTTCAGTAGCGGGGTGCCCAAAACGGGATGCACTACTCCAGATCTGGCCTCAGCAGTGCCGAATAGAGGAGAATAATTACTTCCCTTGATCTGCTGGCAATGCTTCTACTAATGCAGCCCAATGTGCTGTTAGCCTTCTTCATCAAAAGCATATAGAAGACACTTTTTCTGAAGAACTGCTGTTTAACCAGTCGTTCCCCAACTTGTAGCAATGTATAAGATTCTTCTATGCACTTGTCCTTCTTGAACCCCATCAGATTTCTTTTGTCCGAATCCTTCAATTTGCCTAGATCATCCTATCCCTACCCTCCTGTCTATCAAACTCTTCTGCCAGCTTAGTGTCATCCACGAACTTGCTGAGGGTGCAATCCATCCCATCATCCAGACCATTAATGAAGATGCTGAACAAAACCGGTTCCAGGAATGACCCCTGGGGTACTCGACTTTATACCAGCTGTCAGTTAGACATCAAGCTGTTGATCGCCCATTGAGCCTGATGATCTAGCCAGCATTCGGTTAACCTCACCCAGGCCATACTACTTTAACTTGCTGGCAAGAACAAGGGAGACAGTATCAGAATGTTGCCCAAAGTCAAGGTATATCACATCTACTGCTTTCCCCCTATATCCAGAGCCAGCTGTCTCATCATAGAAGGGAATTAGGTTTGTCAGGCATTACTTGGTCTTAGTGAATCCATATTGAATGTTTCTTTCTGTACTCCACGTATTTAAAAATGGATTCCTTAAGGATGTGCTCCTGATTTTTTTTCTGGGGACTGAGGCGAGAGTGACTGGTCGGTAGTTCCCCTGATTCTTCTTCTTTCTTTTTTAAAGATAGGCACTATATTTGCCTTTGTCCAATCATCCAGGACCTCCTCTGATTGCCATGAGCTTTCAAAGATAATGACCAATGGCTCTGCAGTCATACCCTTTCAGCATCCTCGGATACATTGCATCTGGCCCCTTGGACTTGTGCGTGTCCAGCTTTCCTAAATAGTTCTTAACCTGTTCTTTCACCACTGAGGGCTGCTCACCTCCTCCCCATACTGTGCTGCCCAAAGATAATGAGATGACAGATAAAATGAAGGAACTGTAAAGCTGTGTAGGCTGGTGTGGTCTGGTTTGGAGTGTTGAAGAGTGCTCTTAGATCAAAAGGAATGAGATTAGACAAAGATTCCTCACCTGGTGCAGATTTCATGCTATTGTCAGACTTCCCCGAAAAACAAAATCCGCGAGAGCTAAGAAAAATGTTTTTGAAAAGGGCGAAGAGTGAGGAATGAGTTAGATGTTAGGCTGGTCTTTGAGACAGAAACTTCCTTAAGAAACTGTATGTTGTACTGACATATCAAGGAAGAGGAGCAAGGTGAAGAAGCACCATTGTGTCAACTGTTGAAATCCTGTTGTGATTCACAGTACTTATACATTGGAAAAGCTATTCTGTGCACTGGTGTGAGTTTGGATACAAGGCAAGCTGTAGAATGAGAATGTAATAAATATGGGAGATGGGGCAAGGATTATCAGTAGCCTCACAAATGAGGCAATAATGGAAAAATTAATTTGGAATTGTTTTGGAGAAGAATTTATTGCATGACTTGGTTATTTATAAAACATCTTCTATATAAAAAAGTATTAAGATAACTTTATTGAGGTTGCAAAGTGGAGTACTCACAAGTTAGAAAATCCCTGAATTAAAGTGTTCTAGGTAGCATTAATTATGTCCCTTTGGGCTTTAGGAATGTGAAAGGCTAACCAGTTAACCAGAAAGCATCATCCTTAATGAATGATACTTACGAGTTCCAGTTAACTGGTGGGAGCTGAAGCAGCTCCCTGCCCATCACGGGGAGGGGGTTGCTCCAAGCCTGTGGAGCCTGCTGCAGACGGGCTGCTCTGGCTGGGCTAGAGTGGTCCTTCCGCCTGTCCCTCCCTTAATTGGTTAAATGGCTATGGCTTAAAATCATAATTACAGTATTGCATACTAACTTTTCCATAGGACCCCCGTTTCATTGAGTGCCCAGTGAAGAAAGCTGTTTAATATATCTATATATATATATATATGTTTAATCTTCATTGTTAAATATCATTCAGTGCATAGCATCCAAACCCTTTGATGAATAAAGAATTATTTTGTTGTTTATAGAGTTTTCTGCATTCGTGCCATGCTGTCTGAATACCTCCCATACATGGGTGAACTTGTTATAACAACATCCTTGCAAATTGGGGGAAGAGGGCATTATCCTTATTTTACTGTCTGGGAACAGAATGATTAAGGCAAAGTAGTGGAAGAGATGATACTAGGAGAACTCTTGGTTCCTGGGTCCTACCCATAGCTTTATTATGTCAAAGGTATTTTGTTAGAAAAAAGACATAGGAGCAGGCACTAGAGCTCCTTATGGATGTTCTGAAATGGTCCAAGAGGCTCAGTGGACCTGGGAGGTAGGGATGTGAAAGTGTAACCAGGTACACAGTTAACCAGTGAGCATAGGCTCACAGTTTTACACAGGCTCCCAGAAACTTTAAAAAGTTTGTGAAAACTGCCCTGTGCTTGCATCAGTAGTCCTTTTCTGTGGCTTCTAACTTGGCCAAAGTAGGGACAGCAAAAGCCCTTCTTTGACTTCTGGACTTTTCTGCAAGCCATATTTCACCTTCTTACCCCAAATCCCTATGGTGCAAGAGCCTTTTTCATTTTATATTTTTAAAAACAAAGTAAGTGTTAGCTGATGCCCTTGTTCTAGATACAGTACAATTTGCAAATGCTTCATATCTTGTTTAAACATTTTAAACAGAAAATGAAAATAGCATAAGTTGAATGATAATCCCAGCACTCAGCAGCGCTTCATGCTATACAAGCCAGAGAATGGTCAGCGCTGCCAATGTGGTATTCATCTAAGGTTCCTCTAGACAGCACCCTTACGTTGGAATAAGCTGCACAAATTGCATTGCTTATTTTGAATGTATTTCAAAATAGTTTATTTTGAAATTTGGTGCTGTCTACAGTATGATGGGATGCGGTCCCAGACAATCTTCTGGGGTGCCTCCCAGGGTGCTGACATGGCCATTGCCACTCGCCTTTCCACTCTTTGGGGCTCCTCACCACCTGATCCTGCTGGGCCAGGTCCGCTGGTCTCCCCTAGCCAAGGCACCAAGCTGAGAACCCTGCCCCCATCGAGAAGCAGTACAGAGTGAACCTTTTAAGGTCCAAGGAGAGTGCAGTTTAGGGCCTAGCTTCCTAGGATACTACTCCCCAAATGCGATCAGACTCCCAAAGAATTCCACTAGGCCAATCTCTGAACTTCCTTTAAATTTATACACTTAGATGGTTGAGTGAAAAGATTTTTGGGATTAAATGCAAACATAGTACCACTATGTGCTTTTTAACATACTCAACTGTTTGAATTATGTTAAGTTCCACAGAAACAGACAGTTCCAGTTGCACCCAGAACAAGAACTTCCCAAGATGAGCCTCTGTTAGAAGTGATCCATGTCCAGAGTCGGCCTTCCAGAGTGGGATCCCAGATTGAGGCAGAAGAGCCCAAGGAACAGACATTAGAAATAATTCAAGGTAATTCTGATAAAACTGTTCAAAAACTAGTAAATGGGAAAGTTATTCTTCTTAAACATGGATGCCTGTTACAGGCTGGTTATCAAGTTGTTTGGTCACATTTGCATCATGGTGGAATATAAAACTGAAATTTCACCAACAGTGCACCAGAGAAAAAGAAGCACATTTGAGCATCTTCTAGTTGTATTGTAGCTTGCTAGCTGTTTCTGTAGTTGTTGGATACTTTTAGAAGCCAAGATTCAAAACCATAAATGGCTTTATAGATCAAAACCAGCCTCTTGTGTTATACCTGGAAGTGAGCTGAAAGCCACTCGGGTTTCTGGGGAAAAGTGTAGTATGTAATAATCACCTCAGATGAGCCAAGCAGGAAGCAAATATTTGTACATGCTTCATGTTTATAGTGAATAATTTCACATACTGGAGATCTCATTAATCAGGGTGCACTTATTTGCAGATGTGTTATGTTTGGTTACTATTTCCCCAGCCTTAGTATTTTTGACTGGACTCTTCACAGGAGGGGGAAGGCTTAATTAGTATCTTAGAAAAGAGAGAGAGTTACAGCATTGGAAATTTAGAGTTAAGGTGCAGTGTTCTGTTAGTTATTACAAAGTATTCTCAGAGCTACTTTGTTAGATGATTTGTCCTCAAAAGTTTATACCACTTCCTTTGTATAGGTTTTCAAACATACTGTAGTCTGGATGACTGGTAAGACAATGGTTACTTAAACTTCCAAATTCTGTCTTCATCCTTCTTATAAAATTTCTAAAAGAACAAGTGATTTAACATTAAAGCCAGTAAAGAGTGTAGCTCTGAAAATGTCAGCAGAGTATTTAGCTTCTCCAGCATCAAAGGACAGTGCCAAGAGCAACAAGTTAAACACCTCACTTGGACTAACTGGAAAAAGAGGCTGTTGTGTGACACACCGAAGCATCTATGAATTCAGTTACTGTTCAAAGCATGCGGGAAAAAGTATCTAAAGATATTGCTAAAATTAAGGCAATACAAGAAATTATTCTAACATCTTAAGCAGATATTTCTGCTCTGAATACCAGGGTAGAAAAGAATGAAGCTGATACCTGCTTTAGAGATTAAAAGAGATGAAATATGCAGCCTCAGCAAGTGAGTGTGACAGGATGAATTCAGTTACTGTTCAAAGCATGCGGGAAAAAGTATCTAAAGATATTGCTAAAATTAAGGCAATACAAGAAATTATTCTAACATCTTAAGCAGATATTTCTGCTCTGAATACCAGGGTAGAAAAGAATGAAGCTGATACCTGCTTTAGAGATTAAAAGAGATGAAATATGCAGCCTCAGCAAGTGAGTGTGACAGGTAG